TCACAGCTGACACGACTGTTCGAAGATGAAGTTAAAACAGCTTTCAGAAACGTTCTTGAGTAACATATAGCCATAAAAGCCAAATTTAGTGATTTTAGAAAATAGATGTTGTAAATACTACCCAACAATTGAAAGTAAAATAGGTAAAATATAAAGTTTCTGAGGAGCATATTTTGGTGCTGCCGCTCAGGCGCACTCATGCGATTCTGATAAAACAGACAGACTATGTAATAGACGATATCTTTGCCTTAGTCAAGAAAGCCAAAACTGGACAAATGCTACACACCATAACAATACCACAAAGAAGATAACCTTCACTAAAGACAAAACACACAACAAAACTAAACAAACAAGTATACGGCATAAATACCCTTACAGACCAAATACTTGATTTCAACCGTAATCATTCCACACAAGACAAAATAAGCAACATTCGAACACTTTCAACAGAATTAATACTCACTGCAGCACCGAAGAAGCCAAAAAAACAGAACGCAACTACTTTTTCTCATTTATAAAAACTAGTTACCCTATAGAAACTTTATAGACGAAACTATAAGCAGATTCAGTCACACCTTTACTACTGACGGACACCTCCCGAAAGCAGACACAGCTATTAGGTCCCTGCCAATACTCTTACTATTAACTTATTTACAACCTCTCATAAGCAGACACCAAAACAATCTTGAAACAATTCTGTAGTGTTTATGGTGTTTCGAAAGTTCACTTTTATTCACTTTTAGGGATGGTCATGGGAGAAAAAATTTACATGAGTTTAAAGGGGAACTCCACCCTCACATAATGTTGGTTTTAAAACTTTGTCAGTCCCGTGAAAGTAAATATGCGGCAATTTTTTTGTTTGTTTGATTCAATATTTTCACAAAAAATTAGTTCAAATGCTGCAGCTAGGGCATCCGGTGCGTGGGAGCAGAAACATGTCAGCTTGTATTTGACGTCATATCGTCAATTGCTGCTCAAAGCTCTATGTAAAGTCATTGCACAGACAACAAACTTGCGTCAAAATGCTTCTCCTAATCACAAAATGTTTCTTTTCGAAACTTCAGAATTTTTTATTCAGAGGTATATACACAAGCAACTTTTATAGCTTACATGCAAGTATTGAGCTGGTTATTTGTATTCTGTTTTAATAGAACGGTTTCACATCCCTAAAGGCCATTATCGCACAGTTTCCGCACTACATTTAGAATTCAAATATCGATTAATATTATTTTTTAAAAAATACGAAGGTTTATTTGTGTGGAAACTGTGCTGTAATGCCGTTTGCTTCGTTTGCTTGTCCTCCGAATTCAACCTTAACAACAGTTTCTACTGATGTGAAACCAGTGTATTGCCATGAATAACATTGAATAATAATAAAACATGGTTGTGTAATTTAGATTCATTATGGTTAGAAAATAATCCTACATAAAACCATTGTAAAATTAGCCTTTCGTGTATAGAATTTAGGTGTAGTTTCCTTGACATAAAGTATGAACTTGTAGTTTCCTAATTATTTGTACATAATTTCCCTTTTTTAAGTCACATTTGGGACAAAAATTGCCAGTGCTATGAAAAACGAACACCCTCATATTGATCACCAATATGATGTGTGGCATTTGTCCAAATCTGTCACAAAAAAACTAACAAAGGCTAACATTAAGGGAAATGATGACTTGATCCATTGAATTAAGTCCATTTCTAATCATCTTTGGTGGTGCTCTGCAAGTTTTAACAAGAATGCAGAAGAATTGGTGGAAAAATGGAAGTCTATCCTTAACCAACAACAAGCATTTCTGGAGAGGAAACACATATTTACATCAATGTTGCTACCAACAATTAACAGAAAGACAAACAAGCAGAAGAAGTGGCTATCTCCTACTTCACAAGCATATATTGCTGCAGAGAAGGTGATTTGTGACAAGAGGCTTCTAAAAGACCTGTGGAAGCTATCTGAGTTTTGTCACACAGGAGAGTTGGAGGTTTACCATTCCCTTTTACTGAAATACTGCCCAAAGCGAGAGCATTTTTCATTTCCTGGAATGGTAGCCTGCACTCAGTTAGCAGCATTAGATCACAACAACAATATTAACCGTGATAAAGCAGTCATTAAGTCAGGGACAAACAAAGGGCAAGACCGTTACAAAATGATTTTTGCTAAAACAAGACGCAATGGGTTGTAAAAGCAATGAAAGAAAAGAAAGAATACCAGTACGTTGATATACTACTTCCCGAGGTTGTGAATGCATGCAAAACTGAGGAGATTGAACTTGTACATCATGGCGAGAATCTTCCAAAGAACATTTCTAAATCATGTCCACCCAGGAAAGAAGTACTTGTAAAGGAACATCAATCAGTGGTGAAGTTAGCTATGGCAATAGGTTTTGCCATGCACATATAATATGATGTTGCATCAGTGAAGACAACTTTTGTACATTATTCTTAAATATTAACATAGCAAAACCAACATAGTGGAAGCTTTCAAATTGAAATTCCTCCGCAGGGCCAGGTGGAGGAAATGTTTCTCTAATGCGAGTAACTGCACATGATGGCAAGACGACTCTTACTTCTCTACCCAAGATACCCCAGCACCATCTTGTCAACTGTCCATATGCAATATGGCGGTACAGTTTGTCTTCAGGCCTATCATATGCTACCTCATATTGCTGCTTGTACTGGTACCAAGCTGTTTGTAAAACCCACCTGTTAAGACAAACAGGCTCAAAACCAGGATGTTGTGTAATGCACAAAGGGACTTCGGTGATCTCATTCGTTTCTACTGCCTCTACATTTTTGTCACAAATATTGGAAATCTCTTTGCAGCTTAAACATTCCTCGTAATTGTCCATTATTTGGCAGTTACTACATTGACACTTGAATATGTTAAAAGAAAGGATCTTGAAAAGTAAATGTTAAAATTTCAATAAAGATTGTATCTTACAATAAAAACTTTAAAATCTGGGCCGGTTGTATAAAGCCCTTAACTACTTTTAAACTACTCTTTTTGCAGTTAAAAAGTAGTTAAATTTAACTATGCTATGGAGCATAGTTAACTTTTCAAAACACAGTTAAATATGGCGGCTTAGCTTCTCAAAGACAATTATGGGTAGATGTTGTTGATCAACAACGTTTTACCTTGAGTTTTTAATCACATGTGTATCTTCCATGGCAAAGGCTTTTAGAATAAGAGCTTTATGGACAATGTACTACATTCGTCAGTGCTGTAAAACATCCCAAGTTTTTTGTTGACGAAAAACAGCCAACAATTTATCCACGTAACAAATCCTTTTTTACACAATAGCAATTGCATTTTGTATTATCTTTCATGCGTCCGGTAGCTCTTTGCAACTTATAAGCGAGACTCTCGATTGAGATAGAGCCTCTTCTTTAAGATTAGTGCACATAACTCGCTGACATTGTCTTACAAATACGTACAATTCGTTCAATGACAAGAAAAACAAAGAATGTTATTCGAGCAATGAATCCTATAGCCTTGGATGTATCAAATATTCAAATTGCGGGTTTTTCCCTATGCATTTTGCTTGATTGAATATCATATGCATCATATAAACTCTTTGCTCTATGGAAAATAAGCTAGATTATGTTAAAACAAATAGGTACTACAGTATAAATGTTGTTCTAAGTATACCAATGATAATACATATAGATACATGACCTTTGCAACAGTTTTTATTCATGACTACTCTTTTGTGTATCAGCTGCATGAGATACAATGATTTTAATTTCTTAAATACATAAAACATTTCATCAGCATGCATGGTGAAGGTCCATGTTGCTTGATATATGTACATTATCCATTGCATATTGTTTATTACACAAGAAGAAAATATACATGACAGTCAATTAGTGGGTTTTATTGATATTTCATCAAGTATTTCCTATGTAAAAATTTTTATTTTCAATGTACATACAATCTTGCCTGCCACTAAAGATCTAGCTACTGTTTGATGATTTAAAAAGTAGAAAAAAATGAATAAAACTCCCAAGCTTTAGACAAAGATAGGCTAATAAATCACAAAGGCATAAATAAAAGTTTCATAGCTAAGGCTCATTAACAAATATACCCAATAGTTTTTATAACTCAGTTTTTGAAAGGTAGAATTAAGAACAAATAAGTATTTTGTGTATAGCTGTGAATATAACATGTCACAAGCCGATAAAAGAAAGTTGCTGGATTACATGGCTACTAACTATGACAACTCAAAGAAATGTTTTCTAATAATAAAAAAGTTCATCACTGTCATCTTTTACAAATATGTGTGACTTATGTCTGTACAAACACATTTCTTTCAAGCATTTTACTCAGCTGTTATAAAGAGAAACGAAACGACCTTTTCCTTTGTTACCCCCAATCTCTCAGTTTTAAATTCTGTAAAAGCGAGGCCATTCAATTATTTAAATCCTTGCACATAGAACACAATATGAATAATTTGAGAAGAGTTCATTGTTTCGTTTACCCAAGTCCGTTATATATAATTGGTATATGAAAGAAAGCAGTCCTTGCCGAGACTCATATCTTTCGTCAACATCGTACTGTATTACACAGAAGATAAGGGTCGATTTTCTTGAGAAAAGTCCAAAGTATATGCTACAATTTAATCCCGTTACCATGTCATCGTGAATCTTTTATTAAATTTTCTTTTCGCTTCATCAACATCCGTAAAAACGACAATAGTTTGCCATATTTTAAGATTTTTACATAAGCCAAGAGATTTTTCATGATTTTAAAGTCATTTTACAGTTCACTTGCCCGCCATTACAAAGCATAAATTGATGAAACTTTATGTCATTTAATGTAAACAAAACTCCACGCAATTTCCACGCAAGTTAACTACGCAGTTACTTAACTGTCCGACTAACTACGTTTTGTGCAACGCAGTTAAGTCGAGCAGTTAAGTTACTACAGTTAAGGAGTTAACTACGGTAGTTAGCGCTAACTATAGTTAAAGTTAACTACGTTTTTATACAACCGGCCCCAGAGCATTACGCTACACGGCGTACCGACAGTGGACGGCTTGGGTGCATGGCAGGTTGGGAAAAAAGTACCGACTACCCATACCTTCTTGTGCTGTGGACAAAATCCGGAAAGCATTTCCTTCGCCTTCTGGAGAATACAAAGGATTTGAATATGCTCAACACTACTGAATGGTAGGGCTTATGGCGTATGACAAAGTCTGTTCATTTGTAATTATGTTTATTTCATGTGGGACGTTATTTCTTTTATTTATTAAAGCGAGATTTATGTTGCTTAATGGCTTCAGCTTTGCTGATTTTGATTTGTGGTGAGTCAATGGGACAGGTATTTCTTTCACTCCAGCGACATCAAGAGCTTTGGAGAGTGTTGGATTAATGCGTCTGCAGTACAAAACTTCTTTCATCAAGTCCTTAACATATCCTGAAAAGCAAATCATTATTTATGTTGGCTTTGCATTGCACTTTGAGAAAAGGTAAGTTTATTTTTCTGTGCTAACCATAAGTGCTGTCAACTTTCACTGGTTTGATGACACCTTGTCCTTCTTTTGACTTTGAATAAGCCACTCTCCAAATCAATGCCTCTTCTGCTTGCCCATCATTTTTCGTTTTCTGAGGTTTATTTCCATTCTCATTGAAATGAAGAGCAGCAATAAACAATCTACAAATGAATGTTAAGTTTATGTTTACAATTATTGCAACTTATTGCTTTTGCAATGACTTTTTTAAGTAATCATACACTAGTCATAAATATATTACCTTGCTTCCATTGATCTGTAGAAAAAATGAGTATGTTTTTGTGCAAAAAGAATCACCACTCGGTGGAAACCTTCGATGGATGAAGTCTGCTTCTGATAACTGAGTTTTCCAATATCTCTCATGAGATACTTGGACTCAACAATCGAAGACAGCTCAACATAAGCTTTTGAACCTAAGATCAGAAGTTAGTTACCAAAAAGAAAAAGAATGTTGATGTTACTCTGAAATTTATTTGCTTACAATACCTTTTTTATCCACATTCTAGGCTCTAACATATCATGTTCACATTTTGGGAATACATCACTATGTCCCTCATGGATGTCACATATATGATTGAGAACTGACAACCACTTTGCCTTGACAAGTTCTTCATCACCATTGCTGGAAGCAGCACACCAGTATACATGGTTGGAAATTGATTGGGCCCAATTCGACAATAATTTGCAACCACTTTTTTTTGATGCTGCTAAAATTTTCTTTTTGATTCCTGTTGGATTTTGATTGTTGATGAAATGTGTAAAAGGTTGGTTTGTTATGACAATCTATACCTTTTGCTACATGCCATACATCAAAGTAGTGCTCGATTTTTGGTCTTTGTTTTGACATGTAGGATTATATAGCTTAGTTTTTGATAAATGTAAACAAATATTGCTGACTATAACTATAATATTCACCTCTTGCCTTCGTCTCTTCTCAAATGCAGTTCTAACATTTGTTGGCTGCTTCCTTTTAGATGCTACACTTGTGGGTTCCAAAGAGTATTCAAAAATCGTGGGTACAGCATCCTTCTTAAGGCGAAGCCGTCCTACTGTCCATCCTACTGATTGCATCGCTTCAAAATTTTGCACGAAGCACGAACTCTCGAAATGTTGCGAGCACAATTTTGAGCTCTTTGTTGGCTTCCAATTTTTGCGTCGGATTTTTTCAATCCAAATATCTCGCATACGCTTGTTTTCGGGAAACGAAAAAAAAGAAACCTTTTGCTGCGTTTCGTGGTTCTTAGAAGAACCGTTTTTACAATTAAATGGGGCACAATAAACCATATTTTCAATGCTAAATTGTCGTGTTGTTAAGAAGTTACCAATATATTTTGAACGAAGCGCGCAATTGACCGCGTTTAGCGAATGTCAACTATTACGTCACAACGACATCGGTAGCTGTCGCTAGCTCGTCGGGCATTTTCAATACGTTATCAGTAAAGCATCAACTTTAAACCTCCATATCTTCAAAAATATTTATCCCTTGAGTCTCAAACTTTGGTGAACTTTTAGTTGGAGCTATACCTTCATGTAAAGTACAAAAATAACAATCCGAATTTTATGTTGCATGTGTCCTTTAACTATAGTTAAAGTTAACTACGTTTTTATACAACCGGCCCCAGAAGTATTAGAGAGTTTACGTTCCACTGTTTTTCGCGACGGCGACGTCTTGTGTTTCACAACGCCGGTGCAAGCGTATTTTTAGTTTACGCAAATTTACAACGTCGCCTCAGCGGAAGAATAATTGGCGGGAATATAAATCAGAAAACATTGCTTTCAAAAACATTCAAAAACATGCCGAAGTGGAGAGCAATTCGAGAGCGTCTTTTTATGTCTTATTCGGATCAATCAATCGACAACGAAGAATTTATTTTGCTTTTCAACTTATATACTGCTAAAAGTCCGGATTTGCCTTATTGGAAATACGAAGAGTTTGATTAAGATAAATTAAGCGACGACGAGTGTAAAGCAGAATTTCGGTTTATGAAATCACACATTTATACTCTTGTGGATGCTTTGAGGCTGCCACAATTTATTACGTGTTGTAACGGCCTTAAGGTTGATAGAGTTGAGGCATTGTGCATATTTTTGAAACGTTTTGCCTACCCTTGTCGATACCTGGATATGTTGCCAAGATTTGGTAGACCAGTCCCTCAACTCTGTATGATCAGTAATGCTGTCATAAACTTTTTATACATGGAGTGGAACCGTTTGCTGTTAACATTTGATCAACCATGGTTATCTTCAGGCAACATTCAAGAATTTTGTAATGCAGTGTTTCAGAAGAGTGGTGCCTTAGAAAATTGTTTTGGTTTTGTCGATGGGACAGTACGCCCAATTTCTAAACCTGGTCAAAATCAAAGAGTTCTTTATAATGGCCATAAAAGAGTTCATGCCATAAAATTTCAGTCAGTTGCTGTTCCAAATGTTCTTGTGGCTAATCTCTTTGGTCCTGTGGAGGGTAGACGCCATGACAGCGCAATGCTTGCCCAATCCAGTTTATATAACAAGCTTCAGCAGCTGGATCATTTGTGCAACGAAACTCCTGTTTGCATTTATGGTGACCCTGCTTATCCTGATCGACCTCAACTACAATGCCCATTTAAAGGAGCAAGAATAACTCCTCAACAGCAACAATGGAACAAAGCAATGAGCAGTGTAAGAGTGTCTGTCGGATGGATTTTGGGGGACATAGTTAATTATTTTAAATTTCTTGACTTCAAAAAGAACCTAAAAATAAAACTTAGTGCAGTAGGGAAAATGTACACTTGTTGTACCTTACTTCATAATGCAAGATGCTGTTTTTATGGGTCTACAACCTCACAGTTTTTTGAACTTCAACCTCCATCTATACATGAATATTTTGTGTAAAAAGTTCAAAAATATTCAATTTTATCAAGTTGACTAATTGTTTTATGGATAACTTTATGAATGTTTCATCTATAATATCAATAACAGTAAATTGTATATGTGAAAAAAGTTTGGTCTACTCTCAAGCAAAAATATATGCACTGTTTTAATAAAACATTTCAGTCTTTTTTAACAATATTCTGCATCAATGTTAGTAAAGCAGTGTTTTTGAAGTCGCAGTTGATGCATTAGTTGCTCTTGCTGCCTTTGCTGAGCAGCAATGCTGTCAGTTAAGGCTTTAGTGAGAGCTTCCTGTTGAGAAATGATGTTCTTCTGTTGTTGTTTTCTTTCATCAGCTTCAGCTTTTTTCAACATCAATTCTTCTCTTTTAATTTCTGCATCAACTTTTGACTTTTGTTGTAAAAAGGCAATGATTTCACTTCCATTGGATGACATTCTTCTTTTAGGTTTTTCACCATCTTTACTTTGAGATTTTCTTTTGTAAGTTTCAGCTAATGTTTCCATTGACTGTTGTCTCATTTCCACAGCCTTTTCTACTTCTGCAACAGAGTTTTGTTTTTGTTTCTCTTCCAAAATTTTCTCTTCTTCATCTCTATTTCTGAACATTTGAATAATTTCCTCAATGGAAGTTTCTACTGCAGATGGCTCTGGAGAGGTCCCAGAAGCTTTTTCCTCCTCTCTTAATCTTTTCTTTTGTTGTTTTTGAAGTAAAGTGTAGTGGTCTCGAACAGACTTTTGCGTCACGTTAAACTTTGGGCTATCCATATCATTTAAGGAATCACTGATCATTTCCCATGCATTACCTCGTTGCTGTGATCCTTTTTTGAAGTTCCATGGTTGGAATAAATACATTTCACAAACTAGAATTTCATTATGTTCATTTGTCCAAGTCATTGCTTTTTTGCTAAAATTACAAAAATAATTAAGAATGCAAAGAAAACCAAACAAATAAACTATTTATAAATATATAATATTTCGTGCATATAAAAATATAATAAAATATTAGTTGAGTTGTAATATTTGAAAAAAACAATCAATTTAGTACTCTGTGTGTTAAATAATTTACCCTTATCTCAGTACAAACTGAACATAACAATAACTTATTGCTAAAAAAGGCTTTAAACACTTAAAACTGTTCGATTCCTACCTTTTTGTGTTTTGGTGTTCATCCGCCATCTTGAACATGCAGGACGCGTCCAAAGAAGACGATTTCACGGCGTCGTCGCCATTGAGTTTTTAAAGACCTGGAGGGGCAAAGGGGCCTGGGCCTCGTGGTCAAAAACATGGCGGTAATGGCGGATTTTGGTGGTCAAAACTTCCACTTTAAAATTTTTTTTCAATATTCACTCCCTCCTGATTTCTAATACTGTTTGTATGAACGAAAACAAGTGAGAAAAAAAAAACAATTACGATACCGACAGCATATCATGTGAAAATAATGCTTCAGCATTGCGTGAAAAACACAGTACAGACACACATCAAAATAAAGAAGATCGACGGTAGAGGAACGCATATTTTGGATGTAACATTTAAGTTATTTTATGACATTTTAGCCTTTTAAAAGTGAAAATCAAACGGCATTCTTTACTAGACCTGTCAATCTCGTCAAACTTATACATTATTTCATGCTTTTGTGTGTTTGACTGTTTGTCAACAGTTTGGTGCACCTATATATCTGATAAATCTGTGTAAAAATGCTCCTAAGGAAGCGAGAAAATGTTTGCTTCAGTCCTACGACATAAGTCAACTAAAAATTTACCATGGTTAAGTATCATAAGTGTATTGTCATTACCTGATAAATCTACTGAAAACTCATAAAGAAAGTATGTTGAACTAGAAGAGCTACAAAAAAGAAAAAAATTCAAAACACCATGACACTGTTGCTTGGTAATTTGTATTTTGTAAACAGCTTGGCAGAATCTTGGATCTATTACTGAACAGAACTACATTGATTTTCCATTGAAATTATAAACTTGGAAACTAAAGTGCATTGGTTTCTCTGACAAAAAAACTGTCTATTGCTGCATGAAAGCAAAATAGGTATTTGACAGTGTAGGTGAAGAAATTTATCAAGTTCTATAGATATTATTGTTCATCACTTACAGTTTTTTCGAATTGTGTAATATATGTCATGAACAAGATATAATTTTTCAAGAATGATAACCCCTTCGAGCACTACTACTCTTCTGTTTTGCTTAAACAACTTACAGCTACCAATACTAATTATTTATATGTACAAACTAACATTTGGGAATTAAATGATAAACAACTTGTTAAATCTTTGTATTTTACATCAAGCCTTTGAATTAGTTCCTTTTATCTCTTGGTAAAAAAATATTAATGAAAGACTTACAAATCAAGTTTCTCAAAAATAGTATTTTGTACAAAGAAACTAAATAATTGGAAAGGTCACATGTTGAAGACAGACTTTGCTTCTTTGACTAGGTTGCTTGACCATGAGCAAATTTAAATTTGTTTACAATTTGTTTAAAGAGTTCTTTTTATTGATTTCTACTAATTCTTCATAAGACACAAAGAATTTCTTCGCCATCTATTTTTGCTTCTTCTACATTCAACTTCATTGTAACCAATGCATCCAGGGGCGGATCTAGGATTTTTCAAACATCAGTCATAAAACGTCAGAGGCACTCCGCGCCGGGGGGGGTCTGAGGCATTCTCCCCTGAGAAATTTTGAATTTCAGAACCTCTAAAATGCCATTTTCAGCGTTTTAGAGCAATACAAGATGTATTTTGTGGGCATCGTTTTTCGGTAAAAACAACACATTTTGCTTACGTTTTTTTCAAAAAAAAAATGAAGTGAACAATACTTGAATGTTTTGCCAAATAATTAGGCTCATTATCATGCCAAATATATGGCTCATTAGCATGTCTAGGAACGTAAAATTTATTTTACAATAATGGTATTCAAAGACAGATATAGTCTTTAAAAATTTCTACCAAGTTGTCAGGCATAGACCCCCCTAGAGACCCCCATTCAAACCTCTATGTAATAAGTTAAGTTAGAAATTTGGTACTACAAGTGACAGTTCATAAATATAGAAAAGCTCAGACTTCAAACCATGCAAGTTTATTGTAACCCTTTACCCATCTCCACATCAGAGCCAGCAAATTCACTTTTTGAGAAAAAACTCAAAATTTCTGTCAAAGATTAAGAAAATTATCAAAGTGAAAAATTGCAGTTAAGGACAGCTTAATGCCATGAATGTTTCTTAGGCATTTCACTAGACTATTATCTTCTGTAAGTATATGCAAGGTGTGCTATATAGCAATCACTAGTAGCATTGTATTTGCAAATACAAACAGAATGTAACCAACATGTCTTTAATTATATAATTACATGAATGTTAAAATTGGTTCATGTGTCATGCTTACTGTTTATGATAAATATCTTTTCATATGATCAAAGCTCGTTTAAATGTAAATCTGAAATAATTTAGTTTAGAAATTATACTGATCATCAGAAAAATTACCTAGTGATCATGAAAAATACTTTGCTGTTTTGCCAAATTTCAAGGTTTATCTGCATACATTGGAAGACATTTTACTTTATAGAAAATGCTATTCATACATCAATAGCCCTTTGGAATTTATGGCAAACAATCTGGTATGAGCCGTAGATTAACACACCTTTACATCTCTACATGAGGTGTTCAGTTAGAAAAGGGGACAATATGTGACATGGGACAACATTCCATGTATGTGAAATACTCAGGTTTAATACCATTCCAGTCAAATTGTCAAAATAAAAAGCTTCATGGATCATAAGACTCAAAATCACAGGTTATAGTAAACAGCTTCTCATGTAATCAATGTTAGTTTTCTCAAATCTTAAACAATATGTAGTATAACTGTCCAATGATTGAATAATCAATGATCATAAACTGAAAAGCCCCAAACATTTGTTTACGATAAAGTAAATAATAGTATGGCACCTTATGGCTACAGATTTTTTGTCCATTGAAATATACTTGCAGAAATGTAGGCTTTCGCTGCCATATAACGGCCACGATTCCCCAAGCATTATAGAAATCATAGCTAAAAGTCCTTCGGCAACAACAATTTTAGAAGCATCAATCTGCTTACCATACGCCATATTAACATAAATCGCATCACACACTCGCATAAATTGACTTTGATATATTGCATTCATGCATACACTTCACTTGTCCTTTACTTACGATTTTGGATGTAAATTTCTGCTGATAAAACTCAAAACAATGTTGGCTTGCTTTTGAACATCAATGACTGAAATGTCGCTCGCGAGATCGTCTTTGCCAAGCATTTACAATTTATCCATAAATTTTTCACCCTCTTGAAAAAATTCCCAGTTTGGAAAGCAGCATTCATGTCAACATATGAATTTGTAAAAGATTTCCATAAATTTCATCTGATTGTAGTTTAGTTTCTATCATGCTTATAAAAATTACTATAAAACGATCAAACATTCAATTCAGACAGTGAGCTTGACTATGTTAGTTCAGTTGGCTATCAGTCGAAATCGGTCAAACCAATCACAGTAAGACAAAAATTCAAATGAACCAATTGTAAGATAGCAATTGGACTCCCTTATAGGTCCGGCCACCCCTATTATCGGTCGAGATTATTCCAGACTGTCCACTGATCTGGCCATTGACGAATAAAATAGCGTTTCTGGCGTTCATAAACTCCTTTATAAGTCGAACCAGTCAAGCCACCCCGCTTATCAGTCGGTTATTCCAGGTCAATTAAAATTCAACTGATCTGGTTACCAAGGAGATATTCGTTGCATAAGTCATTAGTTTTCAATAATAAATAAAGCTGGATTTTTATCACGAAGTAAATGCGATAATAAAGAATAATTAGTGATTTTTTAATTAATATGAATAGGTAATTTTTGAATTTCAAACATCAGTCGCGCGACGGATTTGACATACTCTAGATCCGCCCCTGAATGCATCCGATGTGAATTTGTGGATCATCTGGAATCATACCAAGTATGGATTTGATGAGATGAGACAATATTTCATTTATAGAAACGCTAAGTAGTACTTTAAAATTGTTTGCATAAATCCAACTTTCCAATCCCATTATAATTGTCTACACTATACAGTCAGTCAAATTGAGCATGCAAACAGTTTAATAGTTCTTTTTATTATACAACATATACCATAGTTCTCATTAATTTTGCATGGCACTGCATTCAATTTCAACACAACTCTGTTGTAAACTTTCCCTTCATCTTTTCAAAAAAAACATGAACAAATTATGCCCCATTTTTGGGAGGTAAACTCAATTCAAATCAGGAGAGTTTAGCTTGATGCCTTGATCATGATACAAGATGGATGCAAAACTCAATAAAAATTGACAGCCTCGACACGTCTGGCGAGCGATTAAATGAAGAACAAACAAGACTGGACCAAAATAACTTTAAATTAAAACTTAGTAGTAGAAACACTCTTCAAGTATCGTGTTAAAAACAAAATAGTAAAACTAATACTGTGCTACTTACCGGAGTCATGAAATGTTTCCTTTTCTGTCGCTATTTCAGCGTCCGCAAACCACAGAAGTTGGCAATTTAATAAATAAATTTTAAAAAAGTGTTTATGTTAGGAAAATAAAAAGTTTTGATATTTTCTATACTCGCAATTGTGGTGGTCAAATCCGGGTGGGCGACAAAAATTTTATTTCATGAGCCCGCGTCTCTCCGCTGACTTTGACCACCAAAATCCGCCATGTTTTTGACCACGCGGCCGCGCGCTAATAATTTATACTAATTTTGTTGACGTTTCCCCTCCAGTTATTATAGAACTCAATGGTCGTCGCCAAAGGAAGCAGCCAAAATGTTAAGAAGCATGCGCACTAGCATTAACTCCCGGCGTCGTCGTCAAAATGTGAAGTTTCGTAAACTCTCTATTATGTGTGTGTGGACGTGGTCAACTTCAAAAACGGCAAACGTTCTTTCGAGATCGAAACAATGGTCTAGAATAATATAACATTTTATTACTCACCATTCAAGATTGTCGCGCCGAGATTCATCGTCAATATACAAAAATTCCTGTTCTTCGTTATCCTCAAACTGGTGAGCTCTTCGTGTTCATCAGCCGGCCATTCGGGCTCAAACTGATATGGCCGAATATTGTTTGCTGGATTGTCTTCCATTTCATTATCGATTGGTGAATTAGGCCGAGGTTCTTCCAAAAAAGCCATTATTAGCGATTGTTTTGTTTTTTGTGCTTGGCTGTGCGTTATTGTTTCACTTTGTTGTAAACACAACTCCAAATCATTATAGAACTCAATGGTCCAGGCCCCTTTTCCCCTCCAGGTCTTATAGAACTCAATGCTTGAACATCAGCTGTGACGTCATGTGCAAAGGGCTATTGACTATTTTGTAAAACTTTTTTATTAGTAAACCAATAATATTTCTTTACATTGTCACGTGAAGAAGCATATCACATTACGGCCGATGGTTTTGGGTGGAAAATTTGAATTTGAAAATTGAAATGTTTGTTTTTGAAATTTTTCATGAATTACTGTAGTTTAGTACAGTTTCATGTTAGCTTTATTGTTTAATGGAAGAGTTAAAAGCCACCGTTCTTCCAGGTACGTCGATTAATAATCTAAACTTTTGAAATGCGAAAAAAGTTGAAATTTTGAGATTATTTAAGCCTAAAAATTCAAAACAGTTTACCACACCGACACTAAATTTTGATAGTTAATGTTTTTTTATTTGTTTTATTTTGTATCAGAATTTCACAATGATGTCCAAAATGAATTTGATGTGGTCTTATCACCAACAGTTGACGTGAATGAAATAAAGTAAGTGTAAACGAGATTATGAACGGAGTATTTTAAACGCATTCCACAATTTTCAATTGAGGAATTGCGAACTCGACAACGATATAAAGTGATCGGAGTGATACATTATTATTAACTGAACAATGCTTGAAGTTTCTTTAATTGTGTGATCGGAGATTGTGGAATCAACAAGATTTAATTTTGGATAATACTATTCGATCAATGTAGTGAAGACATGTTTGTTCTTTAAAGATGTTCCTCTTCCACAGTTCAGTCTTTAGAAGTGAGAAGGACTTTTGTTTTTAGAGTTGACTAACATCCTTTGCACAGTTCTTCTCAGGACTGCACTAATGTGGACGATCAACATCCACAAACATAATTATACTCCAAAGTTCAATTCACTGTTGTGAAAAGTGAAGACATGTTTAATTAACAATCTTTGCACAGGCTTTTGGAGAAAGTTGTCAAGTTTGATCCTGATAGACGTACAATATTATTTGGACTTATCAAATTGTCATGTGTATACAACATTGATGCCACATAATCTTGATGAATGTTTAATTTTTATTTTTAAAAAAATTATTCAAAAATTGCTTCAAAAATTGCTAGTTGTATAAAGAAGTTGTTCATTTTTAAGATCACAAATTCTATGGTGAATGGTAAAATTAGTAAGTTAATAGTTCTTCAAATATGTTTGTTGTCCTACAGGTAGCTTATGTAAGTGTTTGGTGTCTGTCCCATGATATGTGGTGAGATAAGCTTATATATTTATAGTAGAGCTTACATTTACATAAGCTTACATACATTTTTGCTTTTTCTTGTCTATGAACATATCTGTAAAGTTTGCCTTGCACAGCACTCAGTAACTATATGCAATGGACAAACAACGTTACTCTATGAACAATATATCATGAATCTTGTTCCAACCTTGATTATTGGAACACAAAGTTGCATTGCAGATCTTAAATTTAGATCTTAAAATGTTTTTGTTTGCATTAAATATGGGTACCACTTTTTCATCAACCTCAATAACCCGTCCTCTATTAATTAATGCAATTTTTGGGCATAGTTTGAAAGAGGAAGTATGACACCAGTGACTTAAATTAAATTTTTGCTAAAATTATTTGCAGTAGATACTTAAATGTAGTTCAAAAAGGAATAAGTACTCTGAACAAAAGCTCCATCCTGAAACAGTTATATCTTACTCCATCTTTGAGCTAAACAAGGGAATAGAACAAAGCTTTGTAAAGTAAGATTTTTATCTATTTGAAAATAGATCAATTTCTAATCATACATTAATCAATAAACTTTTTGATATTAGTTTTGACAAATGTGATAGCTAGACATAGTTGATTTAATGAAGAATGACATTTTCTAATGATATGTTTTGAGCATTAGCTTATTATGGCTCTATTTATGTAATGATTATTGTGACATCATCAAGAAGAATTGTCTTGTTAAAGAAGAATGAGATGGATAGTTCATTTGACAGGGAGGTCTGTGTTAAAAGACAACAGTTTTGTTGTTTCTGATTTGCAAATCTTTTATGAAAATGCTTCCACTTTGATTGAACAAAATATTTTGCATTTGTTTATAAACATATGAGGTCAGAGATGGGAGAATTCAACCTGTATCTGTGTGTTTTATGATGTTGTGTAGTTTTTTCTTCATGGATGGCCCAGAATTACTTTGTAGGAGGGATACTCTAGATCTTATTAGATTTAAATTGGTCAATTGAGTTTGAATTATATTTAGTTGGCTATTTTCTGGTTGTTGCCATGCCAAGTTTGGTCCTATGTTTGTAACTTTATAATTTGTACTCTAATTAATGCATTGCACATAAAACTTACTTTTTAGTTATGCGTTTTCATTGTGATACCTTTCCTCTGAGAGAGTGGTGAAGCCGGTCTGAATTTTTACTTTAGCTGTGTAGACCTTCAGCAAAATTATTATTGATCTCCTTAGAAAATGTAGCTACTTTTATTTATACTTCTATTCTTAGTTCATAATTTGAAGATAAAACAATGATTTATGTACATATTTTTATAGCGTCAAAAGGAACGAATAGATGATGACGAAGAAATGTTTTTTGCTCCGTTAAGCCTTCCCGAGAAGTGTGTTCCTACATCCCCAGGCTTGTCGGAAGAACATCGTATCAAAACATATAGCCCAGTAACTAAAGACCAATACGTTGAAATATTCCAAGAGGCGACAAAACTAGCATTACGCTTCAAAAAACTGTCGTCAAGCACAAGCACGTCTTGTACGTCTTCTCATCAAGATAACTCCCTTTCCTCTTCTATTCTGGAACTTTCAAGCACCGAATCCAATTCACCTACTTGCCTGACTGGAAAAGCGTCAAATGGAAGTAGCGAAAATTTGTATGTCTTTCAATTCAAAGACGATGCGACTCCCTCTACAATGACTATTCATGAAAATACAGAGACACAGTCACCGATATCACATGATGGGCAGCTAAGTGAAACCACTGATGACAAAATCCCCATCTTACCTCTCACAGGCAAAGAAAATTTAGAGCCTGGTTTTTTTGATGTCAAAAACACCGAGTTTGTGGAGAATCTGTTTCACGAATATGATGCTGATGATTTACCACACGTCCTAAAAGATCGTAGAAACTTGACCCCGAAAAGTTCGATAAAAAATCCGACGGGCTCGTTGCAAAATTGTGAAAAACATGCCAATGTCATTAAGAACAGCAGTATTTTGCGGTGTGGTAATCCATCAGACTGCCCCAACATTTTAAGAAAGTCTCGTAAAATTGGTGGAAAGTGCGATAAATCTAAAGACATGAATACCGCAATTGGTATAAATGTTGAGTTTGAAAGAAAGGATGGTATTTGTACTTCGGAGAGTATTTCCAAAGACAATTTGCTTACTGGCGAAAATGAAGGTTCCAATGAGTTGCGCCGAAAAACAGCTGCTGAAAATGGCGTGGAAAACGCTATTGTAAACAATTCAGAAGTTGAAAAAGTTTCGGTAGAGAAACCCGTCGAAGATACTGACATTATAAAAGCAGTCAATGTTGCTGTCAAAGCAGCTGGCGAGGCAAAGAATGCTTCACATGATCATGCAAATGAAGAAAAAGATGTGAAAAACCACTTCAAAATTCCTATCGCTGCTGCACCCAAGCCTGTTGCATCACTCAAATATGGGATGAAAAATGCAAAGGTGCGTAGCAAAAACCAATAATCTCACGTGGGGGCAACACTGCCACGATTTCTTTAATTAAGTGTGTATGCTATAAAGGAAATGGTTTGAACCCGTGAGTATCGTTACATGTTTGTAAATGTAGATCGTCCAGGTTGGTATAGTCCTGAGAAGGACTGTTTTTGTTGTTGTTGACTTACGTTTCGACAACCTTAGCAGTAGTCATCTCCAGAGTCAAAAATGAGTACCTTTGACTCTGAAGATGACTACCGCTGAGGTTGTCGAAACGTCAGTCAATAATAACAAAAACAGTCCTTCTCAGGACAATACCAACCTGGACGATCTACATTTACAGACATGTGTATGCTATAGTAGCTCTATCAATGAACAGTTAAACATCGAACGATTGGTTCTTCCTAGAACATGGGACTCAACATGTCAACTGTTTACCTTTCTCATTTAGTGGGTTATACTTGCCTTTCCTCGTTTAAAACTTCTAGAAACGATTAATTTAAGTGTTGGGTTGTCGTAAGTGAATCCTTGTGTGTTTAATTTTTCAACTTTCTTTGCGTCTTTACAAGTAAGATACGCACTTCTAAAATACACAATCATATGTATTAATTTATATTATAACCATAAGAATTTCACCAATTTCATTGGTCGAGATGTATGATCTATAAGAGAGAAGAAATTTCTTGTTTTTGAATTGCTGACGCACGGCGAAATTATTTCAATATTTTCCTGAACTTAGCCCTAAATGGGCAAATGAAGACATTAAGAACATGAAGCAGTTGACGCATTTAACCAAAAAGAAAACAAAAACAGGTTTTCAAACGTTGATTTGCATTTCGTCTTCAATAACACAATTTCAACATAATTGATCAGCCATTGCTTCTTTATTGTGTAAGCCAATAACATTTTACCACGTGACTTAAGATAGCCAATAGCATTTCTTCATTCCTATAGATCATGCACGCGTTATACTTGAAAAATATTGATTGTTTTAATTTTTAAAATGTTGGGGAGACCAAATACTACTTCATTGCCAATTCAAGGGGATTTTTTTTGGATTTAATATGTAAAACAAATAGATTACATTTAACTATTGTTCAGTTATAGATGCACAGGTAAGACGTCATTTGTGATAAGAAGAAAAAGTGATCAATCGCTTCGGCGGCTCGTGGCCACTTTTTTAGTTCTTATCACAAACGACGTCGTTCCCGTGTATCTATTACTGAACAGTCAACTCCTAAATGTTAACTTTGTTAACTTTGTAACAAACACATCAGAAGCATTGAAGGGATTATGGATATAAGTTATACTGAGTTTCTGACTCAAAGAAAGCGGAACCAACGGTCTCGGCGTTAACGTATATTGCGCGTATGTAAATGTATTCGATAAGAGACCTTTTATTAAGATCTCTCATTAAGAACTTATGCATGACGTTTTTTTTATCTAAGGTTGTCCTTGTTTAGATGTTTAAAAAGACAGAATCGAACATAAAGCACACTGAGGTGACTCGGTACGGGAACTCTCCTGTTGTGGAAAAAAAGAGTAAAATATTATATTCGACAGCACAAGAACAGCCTTGTCGTACTAAAGAAAAGTCCGATGACGCTAACAGGTCGCTCGATAGTAAATTAGTAAGTTCATTTTATGTTGCTACTTAAATCAATAGAATCTGCATGAAATATTGTGTCTATATAAAAGAAAATAAACAGATGGAAGAACGTTGCTAATGCATGTTTGCCCATGTCTTTTTAGCAAAGAATCGGGCTTGGGAAAATTGATAAATTGAAAGATGGCGAGGCGAATGGAGAAAGAGCCAAAACATTGGGTAAAAGGTGGAAGTACACTTCATTTTTTAAAACTTTATTGGCTTAAATTTTTTTCAGTAATTTTGGTGTGCAAAAATGTCCATGGTATAGCATGGTTCATACATTTACATCAATTACTGTTCTTTGTGCTTTTTTTCAGAAATATCTTCAGTCCGGAAGAATCCCTTACTACGTTAAGAGCGGAAAGATCTCGAAAAACTCAGAAACTAAAGGTTAACGTGCAAATATTTTGATTTATTAAGTTTTTGTCCTGCGGTTTTTGGTAAACTCTGTAGTTTAAATCTTAATCGTTATTACTACGTGATACCGTAGTTGATTTATATAAATAATATTGAAAATTTGTTTATCTTAATCCATGAACAAAGCTATGGGTCAAAACTTATTAAAGAATCGTATTTAATTTAAGGATGCAACGACAAGTATTGATACAATCGCACTTCACCACCAACACGTACCTTATGTTAACAATACGTAGTTTTAATTCTGTTCATTTTTTCAACGATCCCGGTTTTGCACTTTTATTATAGCTTGTAACGTCAAAGTTGAGTAAGATTCCTGGTCCCATTTGCCGTCTACGAAGAAGTAGTTCGTTGTCGTCTCTCGACTCGTACCAGTCCTCGTCGTCATCACAAAACTTGCAAGACGACTGCACCAGTACAAATATGGGGTACGGTGTCCACATACGTTATTAATAAATAATAATATTTCTGTTTACGTACTTTTTGTAATTAGCAATTCTCATCTTCTCTTTGACAAAAGTATGGCCGTAGCTAGAACGCTAGGGGTGTGGGTAAGGAGATTTATTTATATATTCTGTTTTGCTCGACCAATGTCTTTGAAAAATGATTGCCTTTTGAAGCAAATCAGTCGGGCACAACTGAATATATGATTTTTACCCCCTCTCCTCCCACTACAATCCCAATTTCTAGCTACGTACAGTACCGCTCGCGTATTTGTTAACATACGCTACGCGTATGATACGCGTATCATACGAAAAACATACGCGTATGATACGAGAACGATACGCGTATGATACGAGAACGATACGCGTACGATACGAAAACGATACGCGTGTGATACGAAAAGGATACGCGTATGATGAGCGTATAATGCGTGAACGATAAGCGTACGTATGATACGAGGATGAAACGCTGTGATACTTGATAGAACTTTGTTCATCGTAATGAGCGGCACTATGGTGACATATAGATGTCATCAATATACACTTAAGAAATTTTCACCATGAAGGAGTTAAAAGGAACAATAAAGCAATTGGGTTTTTATAAATGATACCATTCAAGTTCATGTATGTTATGCATCCATAAATTTTGGGTTGCTTTAGTTTCAATGAAATGTGTTTATCTCACGTCGTATAGTATACATATGACTCATCAATGACGTATATAGTTTGTGACACATCCTATGAAAACGGAAAGTCATTGTGATTAGTTTGTTTTGAGATTCATTCAAATTTGCGTGTGCTATAAACTACGGTGGCTCACAAGTACAAGCACACTTACAAATAACAGCATACGCGCACAAATTCGAGGATGCACACTTACACATAACAGCATACGCGCACAAAAATTGGAATACTAACAAACGTAAGTTCAAAATTAAAAAGGAAAAGCCGGCAGTCTATTACTTGACATTTCTTTCCGCTGCTAAACACTACTTTAATGACTTATGGAAGATATCATTCGCAACTATTTTACTAAAAACTACACGTATGATACAATCCTAAAGCTATTGCAAAAATATCATGGAATTCGCATCTCTAGAAGTACTTTGCTGAATAAGCTTAAGCTTTATGGATTGCAACGACGTGGAAATACCGTTGATAAAGACCACGTAAGAAGATGCATTGTTCGAGAACTAGGTGGAAGTGGTAAATTGTTGGGCTATAGAGCCATGTGGAGACGATTGCAGTCAAAATATGGCTTGCAAGTTCCTCGTTTGGTTGCTCAAACCACCCTTCGAGAAGTGGATCAAGAGGGATCGAAATGGAGACGGGCTAACCGTCTTCGTAGAAGAGCTTACATGAATCCGGGGCCAAATTATTGCTGGCATGCCGATGGTTACGACAAACTTAAACCGTATGGTTTCCCCATCCATGGGTGTATAGATGGATTTAGCAGGAAAATACTGTGGTTAAATATAGTTCCTTCAAATAATGATCCCCGCGTAGTGGGCAGGCTATTTTACGACTGCATATCTAATATGCAACTCTGTCCTAAATTCTTAGAACAGATAGGGGAACAGAAAATGGGATTATGGCATCAGCCCAGTGTTTCTTACGCCGAGATGGTACGGACACACATTCTGACGTCAATGCTCATCAATATGGATCATCACACAGCAATGAGCGAATAGAAGCATGGTGGGCCATGTTACGTCGCTCGTGGGCCTCGTGGTGGATGAATTTTTTTAAGGATTTGATAGCTAAAGGGGTTTTAGACACAAGCAACGTACTTCAACTTGAGTGTCTATGGTTTTGCTTTAGTCCTGTCTTAAAAAAAGGACTTGACCAAATCAAGGAATCGTGGAACAGTCACTATGTACGCAAATCCAGGTTTTACACTCATGCGGGGATTTCCAAAAAGGTTTTGAAAATTCTAGATGCCTCCCCCGAAAATGAGGCACAACGAAATGCATTTGATCATTTGGTGCGCTATATAAAGTCTTTAGGTGGCAACGTAACCGCGTTCCTTCAATTTACCACAGGTTCTGATATCATTTTAGAAGGTCAAAAGTTAAAAGTGTCATTTACAGAACTTAATGGTTTACAACGTCGTCCTGTAGCACACACATGTGGACCATTGCTAGAGATTCCCAGCACTTATCAATTTTATAATGAACTTGTAGAGGAATTTTCGTCGATCCTAAGAGAAAAAAGTGCCTGGTCGTTTGACATTGTATGAAAGTTCTATCACATGTTTTAGCACACTATTATGACATATTATATTGTGTTTTACATTGTAGAAACACTTTTTTTAGTTCACTTTTGTTAAAAAAGATTTTATCAATGGACAATGATGTGGTGTCATATGAAGATGGAGGTTATGGACCTTCCCTGAATATGAAATTATCTTATTTCTTTATAAGATTACCATATACGTTATCGTTTTGAGTTATTAATGTTAAATATGTTTTGTTCATTGCTATTTGCTTTAAGCTGCTTCTAGAAGTCTTTCATATGCCATTAAAGCTTCTTTCCATGTCTGGATCTGTCCTATTCGTAACACACCATCACTATACGAGAAGTATTTTTGATATGTAGAGACCTTTTCTGTCGACACATTAACTGAATTGCAAATCTCTATAAGATCTTCGTCGTCATATTTCTGAAAATCTTCAGCTCCAACTGCTTCAGGTAGAAGGTAAAGCTGATCAGGGATCCCCGCATGAGTGTAAAACCTGGATTTGCGTACATAGTGACTGTTCCACGATTCCTTGATTTGGTCAAGTCCTTTTTTTAAGACAGGACTAAAGCAAAACCATAGACACTCAAGTTGAAGTACGTTGCTTGTGTCTAAAACCCCTTTAGCTATCAAATCCTTAAAAAAATTCATCCACCACGAGGCCCACGAGCGACGTAACATGGCCCACCATGCTTCTATTCGCTCATTGCTGTGTGATGATCCATATTGATGAGCATTGACGTCAGAATGTGTGTCCGTACCATCTCGGCGTAAGAAACACTGGGCTGATGCCATAATCCCATTTTCTGTTCCCCTATCTGTTCTAAGAATTTAGGACAGAGTTGCATATTAGATATGCAGTCGTAAAATAGCCTGCCCACTACGCGGGGATCATTACTTGAAGGAACTATATTTAACCACAGTATTTTCCTGCTAAATCCATCTATACACCCATGGATGGGGAAACCATACGGTTTAAGTTTGTCGTAACCATCGGCATGCCAGCAATAATTTGGCCCGGATTCATGTAAGCTCTTCTACGAAGACGGTTAGCCCGTCTCCATTTCGATCCCTCTGGATCCACTTCTCGAAGGGTGGTTTGAGCAACCAAACGAGGAACTTGCAAGCCATATTTTGACTGCAATCGTCTCCGCATGGCTCTATAGCCCAACAATTTACCACTTCCATCTAGTTCTCGAACAATGCATCTTCTTACGGGGTCTTTATCAACGGTATTTCCACGTCGTTGCAATCCATAAAGCTTAAGCTTATTCAGCAAAGTACTTCTAGAGATGCGAATTCCATGATATTTTTGTAATAGCTTTAGGATTGTATCATACGTGTAGTTTTTAGTAAAATAGTTGCGAATGATATCTTCCATAAGTCATTAAAGTAGTGTTTAGCAGCGGAAAGAAATGTCAAGTAATAGACTGCCGGCTTTTCCTTTTTAATTTTGAACTTACGTTTGTTAGTATTCCAATTTTTGTGCGCGTATGCTGTTATGTGTAAGTGTGCATCCTCGAATTTGTGCGCGTATGCTGTTATTTGTAAGTGTGCATCCTCGAATTTGTGCGCGTATGCTGTTATTTGTAAGTGTGCTTGTACTTGTGGGCCACTCTCGAATTTGTGGGCGTATGCTGTTATGTGTAAGTGTGCATCCTCGAATTTGTGCGCGTATGCTGTTATGTGTAAGTGTGCATCCTCGAATTTGTGCGCGTATGCTGTTAAGTGTAAGTGTGCATCCTCGAATTTGTGCGCGTATGCTGTTATTTGTAAGTGTGCTTGTACTTGTGGGCCACCGTAATAAACATATAAAAAAACGACACACTAACAATTGCTTTGTAGCACAATGATGACATAAAAAAGTGTCAGTATACTCTTAAGATATTTTATTCACGAAATAGTTTAAAGGCACGATATAGCAAAAGAATTTTTTAATAGATGATCTTATATATACATGTATATGTTATGCATTAATAGATTTTGGGTTGCTTTTGCAATGAGCTGCTATTGTCTCACGTCGTTTCTAAGTATACATATGACTCATCAATGACATAGCTGCACAGCTTGTGACACATTCTTATATAAAAACGGAAACTAATTGTGATAACATAAGTCATGGTTTTTTGAAAAACTATATTGAAGAAAAACTTAAGCATCTAAAGGGTTAAGTTTAGGACATGGAAGCAACAACACTATCACAAATCGAAACCAAACTATATTGAAACCATATACGACAATATTAAGAAAGTAATACGGGTATGACACGAGAACGACATGCGTATAAAATGAAACGATACGCGTATGATACGAAAAGGATACGCATATGATACGAGAAGAATACGCGTATAATACGAGAGCGATACGCGTATGATACGAGAATGATACGCGTATGATACGAGAACGATACGCGTATGATACGAGAATGATACGCGTATCATACGCAAAATTATGTTTACAAATACGCGAGCGGTAGTGTACGATCTTGGATAAAACGACTTATCAGGTTTCTGTAATCCCCCCTCCCCATGTGTGTCTAAGAGTCATTTCAAATGACAAAGACTACTTGATTTTCGCAAATTGACAAACTTCTTTTGAGTTTGATAGTCAACTGACTGTTGAAATCCTTTGTTTGGCCTTCATATTCGTTCAAACTAAAACGATTCTACACATATATAGAGAGCTCACGAACGATCACTCCAACGTAACTTTTCTCCGTCGTGATATTGTTAGTGATGAATCCTCTTTTGAGAGCAAAAATCTATCAAATGCCATACTCTCTGTATCAAAATCAACTTATTCAGAAAATTCAATACTTGATAACTATGCTAAACCCACCCTGTTAGAAATTTTGAGTAGCTAAGATCCTGTAGGATTTATAGAAAAAAGTTTTGTGTGCCCGTGAGAAATAGATCTAATTTACCCACGTACCTGACAATGCTTTATGCATCTGTGGGTTGGTATAGTGATCAGACATTGAAATTATCACAATACGTACGTCAATTTCCAAAGGATTCCTTTTTTTATACACCCTCTAGAATATTATACATAATTGTGAAATTTTCAATGCCTGAAGTTATGCAAAGCCTACGGGTGCATTTTAGTACTTGCTGCTAGATGTCAAATTCCAGGGAGCAGAAAAACCTTTCTATCAAAGATATAAATGAAAAACATCCATGTAGCTGACAGTATTTTATTCACATTATGCTTAGCATAATGATGGGCATTGAAATTATAATACTACAACAATTTATAAACGTTGGCTGGTTTGATATAGATACGAAAAAGCTCGCCTCCTTGATAAAAGCTGACTTATTGCTTTTGTAGCCATAAATGATGATAGTAGCTATCATTTACTCTTTTCTCTAAACAATATTCAAAGTAAAGAAAAATCGAAAATATCGAGGAATTAAATTGATCATCGCTCTTACCTCCAGATGTTTTTAGCTCCACCTTTAAATTTTTAGGACAGTGAAAAAGTCAATAAATAACCTGTATATTAATTAGGTCAAACAACAACCTTTCTTTTTGAGTTGGTTTTTTTATAGCACTTTTAATCCAGCCATTGCCTTTTTAATGTAGTTTCACCAATATCCCATCTCTTTCCCAAAAACTTTGTGTTTTTGACAATCGATAGCAATGTATGAATATTGAAATACATATGTATGTTTTGCAGTCCGATGACAAAAATGCTTTCTTCAAAAGTTTGTCTTGCATCGTCATCTGGTCTTGCACGACGTTCCAAGTTACACGATCCAACTACTGACAATAAGAAAGCTACGTTCACGAAAGGAGGAATTCCTAAACCTGGCTTTAAGTCGAAAATGAAGAAAATGTCCGACACACAACTTTCTGTTAATCCGGTAGGTCATTCAAAATGATTTATTCGCGAAAAAATAAATCAAGCAGTTTATGGTTATCTTCAGTGTATCGTGCTATCTTCTGTGTATCGTTCTATCTTCTGTGTATCGTGCTATCTTCTGTGTATAGTACTATCTTCTTTGTATCGTGCTATCTTCTGTGTATCGTGCTATCTTCTGTGTATCGTACTATCTTCTGTGTATCGTGCTATCGAATTAAGCTAAAACAACTGTCAAGCAACAATTTCCCTGTATAACAAGTCAAACCAACAAAAATTTTGACATGTGAGTAGCATAACGACACCCATAGAAGAGTCGCCAAAATCTAATCCAAACTAGACTGACCAGACGACATCTTATAAAAACTAGAGCAACACCAACCACAAGAAGGAAATCGCCAAAAATTAGGTGTACACAATCTTTTTCTATATGACATTAATTCTTTTCACTTTACAGGGGAAAATAAAAGGAGAAACGTATGGCAAAGTTGATAATAGCACAATTGCAATGACAGCCACCCCTAGGTCATCGCAGCCTGTTACTTCACGAGGATCGAGCTTCAAATCGTCCTTCTGCAGTACCAGTTCTCGCGAAGACTCCAATCTGAAGTATGTAACTCCTCAAATGACAGGTGAATGTTTGCAACAAGGTAATCATTTACCATGTGCACTATTTAGAATGCTTTTTAGTACGCGTGTATCTTTTTTCTTCCGTTTAGATTTAAAAAGTAGCGAAAGGACAGTGACCAGAACAGCATCGACTTGTAAAAGACGATCAATAAATATTTCAACGACATCGCTAAAGGGGCCATCATCTTTACCAAGGAGGAGCTCAAAAAATTCTAACGATGATTCGAAATTATTTTTATCGTCGTCTGGTGTAAATCAAACCAAGGTAAGTACACTTGAATTGTATTGAGAGGGGTGTGTGTTGACCCACGTCCATTTCTCTGTGAAGTTCTTCCAAGGTCTTTGCAAATAGTGTGTCAGTTTGGGGAAATCGTGATTGTTTTAAGGCTTGTCTCTTGTTTCTTTTCTACATGGACTTTTCTTAACTGTAAATACAACAATTTTATGTTTATAACGTGTGATTGTACAAAACTCGTTTCTTCATCATCGTTTAGAGTTCAAGGACAACCAAGAGACAGTTGATCTCCAACGGTAAACTTTCCACCGGAGATAATCAAAGTGGAACACTGAGAGTAGATGATTTACTGGAGTGCAATGACTTTGGATTTGCCGACGTTGTTCCTATACAACCATTACACGTACAAAGAAATTAAGAGAACAAGGGCTGAGTAATAGAAGTGCTTTACTGTAAAAAATTCATCATTTATGAATTGACAGTAAGGAGGAGTAGTACTTAAGAATCCCCGAGACTTCACTTCCGGTTTCGGCCTGATGAGTCTGGCTTAGGCTTAAAAAATCCGCCTCGGCTAAAAAACTCCAACTTCTGATAAAACAAGCATCAGCTAGGTATTAATGTCACATGTCCAAAGATTCGTAAAATTTCAAAACATAAAAGAACTGTTTTTGTCGAAGTGGAAGAAATTTTTCTTTTGATTTCATTTGATTTCATCTTTTTGTTTTATGAATTGACGAAAATGTCGCATTATGCATAAAAATTACAGATGCAATTTCTTGTTAGATTAATAATTATTTTATGATAATTTCTGTTTTTGTATTTAGAAGGAATCTTGATAAAGGCAAACTTGCCGATGTTCATACCGTTTCTTATTAACAATATTAATGCTAGAGTCTCGTGCCGATGTCACTGATGATGGTGGACATGAGAAATTCTTGGTGTAAGTGTCGGCCATTTGTTGTTGTGATGGTCCAAATATTGTTCGGCCAAATATTGTCACAACGAAAATTGCAACTTTCACTTCAATTGAAGCAAAATTTTGATAAAAGACTTATGACATAAAAAAACTTATCACTTTAGGACAATCTCGACGGCAGAATTATTTTTGGGGAGGTGGAGGCAAAACACCCCCCAAATGTTACTTACATACATTATTATGTAACGGACATTTTCAAGTTACATATATAAAAACCTTATTGTAAGAAATATTGATGGGACAGTCCCCCTTTTTCCTGCGCTTCGGCTCGCTGTCAATACAACAAGGCATCATGTTGTCTGTCAACTTTCATAAAGCAACATGCTATACATTTCTGTTGAAGTTTTTTCTTTTTCTTATCAATAACTTCGGAAATTTGCTGTATTTTTTGTCATATTTAATGTACTTGGATGTGTAATGACCGGAGTTTTTGTTTTGACGTGAACTCGCGGCATTGTGCAGCCATGAGGAAGGAATTGAGAAATGTATCACGGTGAAAAATTCATCTTTATGCTGTGTGTATAAAAAGTGTCAAATTGTATAAATATGGTATCGTACATTGCATTTGATATTGTCTTCTACGCCTATATTTTTGGAAAGCAAACGAGGGGATCTCTTTAGCTTTCCAAATCACGATTTGTTTTCCTTTTCATAACATTAAAAAATGATCGAGTAAACTACTTAAATAGAAATTCTGTCTAAATAGAAAGTCCAAAAATGTATTTTTCTATGCAGTTTAGGAAATAAGTGAATTAAATTCGTCATTGTTGATTGAGAAAAAGAGAGAAATGAAAAATATTTCACAAGCAAAAAAATGATTAATGATTTAGATTGAAAATGATGAAGAAATTGAGATATACTTCATTTCTGAACATTTGTCATTAATTGAATGAGATAGAAAAGAAAGGCTGGAAATGCTTCATGATTATGAATTGATAATTTTTTAACTGAGAATGATGTTGACTGACGTTTCGACAACTAAGGCCCGTTTCTCACGTCGCATTCGACATGCGCCGAATGCATTAAAGACAAAAGAAAATCAGATAAAATTGCTCATGATCTTTTGTTTTAAATGCGCTCCACTCATGTAAAAAGCGACGTTTGAAACGGGCCTTAGCGGTGGTCATCTTCAAAGTCAAGTGAGGAGACAACTTGACTTTTACAGGCCCGTTTACACGGTAATCAATTTTGGCACGGTACTCCAAATTTTAGGTACGCGAACCTGTTTTCTTGAGTGCGGCTCTCCAAATTTTTCTCGTGTAAACGGGTAGCAGGCCTAAAATTTAAGGGCCGGGTGCCTTGAAATATTAGCGTGCCGGGACCTCCGAAAGAGGTAGTCTCGGCCCGTCAAAAAGCGGCACCGTGCCGAGTTTTTAGCTATATCAGCAAAATGAGCAATAATAAGCGCGAAAAGGAAATGGCGGGAATTAAAATAAACAAAGTTGGCGGCGACACCAAAATGCATGAAATGGAGTGATGATAAAACAAGAAGTCTAATAACTCTTTGGTGCGACGAAAATATACAAATTGCATTGGGTAATTCAAAAGGATCCAAAGGTAAAAGCAAGGTTTACAAGTCCTTACTGGTAAGCCATTTTATTGTGACATCAGACATATTGTATCAGCTTCGACTGTGAATCGACTCACGAGTATAGATTTTACATACGCTGTGCACTGGCGTTAGTGGAACGTTATTTGGCGGACCATATTCATGTATTCTGCTATGCCAAGCTCTTTTGAAAGTGGTATCCTATTCAAAAGAAATTAGCCAGGCATAGTAGAACATATGAATACTGCACCTTTCAATAGTTCATTGATGCCATTGAGGCTGTACGTTTGCGTAAATATAACCTTTATTGACAGTGCGTGTTATTGTAAGTTGTCCATTTACAACTTATATTTCCTACATAGTAGGAATAAATTGCCACGAACGCATTACTATTTTGCTTGGTTCAATGCATTATTGTTATTTAAAAAAGGTGCAACATGTTATTCATTTTAAAGGAGCAATTACAAGAAAGAGGCTATGAAGATATTACACTAAAAGAAGTAATTAATAAAATTAAGAAATTGAAGCAAAAATATAAAAGTGAAAAAGACAATGCTAAGAAAAGTGGAAATGGGAGAAAAAAGCCATGGAAATACTTTCAACAGTTGGATAGATTTTTATCCCAAAGACCTAATGTGACTCCAGTGGTTTTACTTGACATCATGGCAGAGGCTGATAGTCAAAAAAATAGTCAGTCGGACATGTTGAGAGATGATGTTGATTATGAAAATGATGACATCATTAATGGTATTATTTTGAAATGAAATGTTTTCACATTTTGCTTAATGATGATAATATGATCTTGTCACAAAACATTTTTTGCTTTTAATCTTAAAGATATTGTCAGTAAGTATGGTAGAGGTGATAAATCCATCAAAAAATGCCAGACATGTGATTATGAAAAAGTTATATATAGTGATGGAGCACACACAACAGAGAATGGATGTATGATGGTATACTGTGAAGAAGAACCATTTTCTTGCCCAAATTGTGACAGTTCAAATGAAACAGGTAATATTTGTATGGAAGACAATTTCTGTTTGTTATTTCATCAAAACAAGATATGTGCTCCAGCTATCTAGTAATTGTTTTTAAAATTAATTAAACATTAGTTAATGTGGAAGTAAATCAACAGACTGTAGCTGAGAATCGAGCTATTGAATATGATAAAAGGAATGACAAACCAAAGCCAGACTTAGGAGAAAAGAGTCTTGGAAACACTTACAAACTAGGAAAGAAACAAAAGAAAAAAAGGAGTTCTATTGAAAAGAGCATGGATGCTGTCCTGGAACAATTCAGGGCAATGTCAAATGATGATTTTGAAAGGTATATTCACCTTCTTTATATATTGCTTGTATGTTTTGCATTTTTGGTAAAAAATACCATAAACTTTTTATTTAGACATCTACCCTTCAGATGTATTCAGCTTTGACAATGTCTGTCACAATCATTATTTGATTAAAATTTTGTAGGTATAAAAAGCTTGAAGAATTTAAATTGGAAAAAGAGCAGCAATTTCAATTAGAACAAATGCGACTCGAGAATGAACGAAGAAACCAGGAAAGAGAGCATGAGCTAAAGATCTTCCAATTGTTATTTGGGAACCAGGCTACCCAGACCATCCAATCTACTGGCAGCTCATCACGAATGTTTGCCCAACCATATGTAAGTTTTCAACAACAGACATTTGGAAATGGCTGCACCAGTATCCAAACTCCAGGCTGTAGCTTCGTAGACAGCAATGATGATGAAGAAAAAACATATTTCAGGTTATGATTTAAAGTATTTGAAAAGTATTTATTTTTAAGTACTTATGGTCACTTGAGTCTTTTAGTTCTGTTTTGAAGTTATATTTGTGGAACTGTTTAATACTATCTGAACATTAAATACAATATTTGTACACTCATGAATCTTATGTTGTATGTTGCAATAATTAACTTAAATGTTTTGAATATTTCATTGTGAGTCAAAATAGTTAGCTAATATTTCTCGAATGTCTTCACCATCGTCCTCAATTACATCACTGGTTGGTACCACAAGTTCTTGGTCAACGTTTTCTTCCCATTGTGGCAGAAAGTTGTTATTTTGCACTTCACAAATATTATGCAAAATGCAAGATGCCAGCACAAGAATCACCAAATTCTTCACATTCATATCGACCCGCTTACTAAATCTGATAAATCTGATCATTCGTTTTGTAATAGCACGACTTACGTCTCTGATGCATATGCACACAAACGATCGAGAAACTCCAAATAAGCTTGCTATTGTTTTATATTCTGCTGTGGACGGAAGGTCGTACAACGTAAGCGCAAGTCGTCTCTTCGCCGTTATCGCATGGAAGTATTTTTGTGCAGTATGTTATGCCTAACTTCATTTAAAAGAAAATTGAATGTTTCTTTTGTTACTCTGAAATTTGCATACCAAAGGTCATCGTCAAAATCCGAATCAACCATATCAAACCAAGCAAGTGATCGTGGGTGCATCCATTGGAGTGTGCTTGTGTTAGTTGTGCTGGGAGTACGCGTATACGAGCGTGTTCCCGTTTATTTCTTCTTGAAGGAGTTTATTTTGGCATTGGCGATAAGCGCTAGAGTTTTGTAAACGACGACTAGCTACTTTGAACCACAGGAATCTAGGTATCACAAAGCGCTTTCTGCATGTCGTAAGAAAATCCAAGTCGAGTTTGCTTTTCCCAGCATGAGTTCAAGTCGTTTGAATTTTCTAAATGCTTCTAGTGCTCCATTATTATAGCGATGATTTAAAATAGTAGCGACAGACTTGCCGAGCGGAAATCGAATTCGTGTAATAAAAATTATCGCCCAACATAAAGTTCTGATTAGAGCCATAGAAATAGACAAAAAAAAATTGTAAGATTAAATTTATTGTAACGTTTCGTCTTTACTCAAGACATCTTCAGACAAATAATAAGTGGGATGTTAAGACAAGGTCACAATAGATACAACCAGAAGGGCCACTCCATTGAGTTCTATAAGACCTGGAGAGGAAACGTCAACCAAATTATAAATTATTAGCGCGCGGTCGCGTGGTCAAAAACATGGCGGATTTTGGTTGTCAAAGTCAGCGGAAAGACGCGGGCTCATAAAATGAAATTTTTTTCGCCCACCCGGATTTGACAACCACAATTGCGATTGTATAAAATTTCAATGCCAAGCACAAAAACTTTACAAATTTAATGTTTAAAACATGCTGCAAACTTGTTTGATATACGGATACTGAAGTAATGCCAGAAAAGGAAACATTTCATGACACCGGTAAGCAACCTAAGATTGTTTACTATTTAAACAGGGGCGGATCTAGAGTATGTCAAATCCGTCGCGCGACTGATGTTTGAAATTCAAAAATTACCAATTCATATTAATTAAAAATTCATTAATTATTCTTACTTTATTATCACATTTACTTCGTGATAAAAATCCAGCTTTATTTATTATTGAAAACTAATGACTAATGCAATGAATATCTCCTTGGTAACCAGATCAGTTGAATTTTAATTGACCTGGAATAACCGACTGATAAGCGGGGTGGCTTGACTGGTTCGACTTATAAAGGAGTCTATGAACGCCACAAACGCTATTTTATTGGTCAATGGCCAGATCAGTGGACAGTCTGGAATAATCTCGACCGATAATAAGGGTGGCCGGACCTATAAGGGAGTCCAATTGCTATCTTACAATTGGTTCATTTGAATTTTTGTCTTACTGTGATTGGTTTGACCGATTTCGACTGATAGCCAACTGAACTAACATAGTCAAGCTCAATGTCTGAATTGAATGTTTGATCGTTTCATAGTAATTTTTATAAGCATGATAGAAACTAAACTACAATCAGATGGAATTTATGGAAATCTTTTACAAATTCATATGTTGACATGAATGCTGCTTTCCAAACTGAGAATTTTTTCAAGAGGGTGAAAAATTTATGGATAAATTGTAAATGCTTGGCAAAGACGATCTCGCGAGCGACATTTCAGTCATTGATGTTCAAAAGCAAG